AACTTTACAATATCCCAATTTTCATATATAACATGATATAATGAGCACATTCATGCCCTTAAAACATTATAAAAATTCCAGTTAGGTTGAATTCATCCAATATAGATATATTCTAATTTATATAGAATTATACATTCAGGCTTTTTCTTTCCTATTACAAATAAATTTGTGGTAAACATCCTTACAAATAAATCTACCTATACATCTCTGTACACTAAACTTTTAGAAACAATATAAATATTTTGAAACATACTGAAACATTACATACAGAAGATATTTAACAAACTGTACTCCCTCAGGTAGTGAAGAAGAATGTGCTCTTCCTCTACACTCACCAAAGTATTTGCTTTTTTAAAAAAACCTTTTAATGTTTATTTATTTTTGAGAGAGAATGAGATAGAGAGTGCATGTGCACGCACGCACACACACACACACACACACACACACAAGTAGGGGAGGGGCAGAGAGGGAGACAAAGAATCTGAGGAAGGCTTCAGGCTCTGAGTTGTCAGCACAGAGCCTGATGCAGGACTCGAACACACGCACTGTTGAGATCAGGACCTGAGCCAAAGTCGGATGCTTAAACAACTGAGCCACCCCAGGCGCCCCAAAACTATTTGCTTTTAAAAATCATTAAATATATGGTAGGTGAAAAAAATTAATTGGCATTTCTTTGTGATGCTGAGTATTTTTCATGTTTATTCATTATTTTGTATTACTTTTTAAAGGAAGAGTAAGTTCCCCTTGTCGCCCATCTTCCTACTGAGACTTAATTTTAGTATTACACTGGGTGATCTATGTAGTTTCATCAGCATATTAATTCCTTGGCATATTTATTGTAAAGTTTACAGATAGCTTATCTGTCTTTTAATTTTATTTCTGATTTATGGCATTCAGACCAAAAAACAATGCTGTGTCTAGGCTATTTATTTTTTCCTTCCTTGCTTTTTGCTCAAAATGTCCTTTCAATTGCTGACATAAATATGTAATTTTATTTACTGTTTTCCTCAAGACTTTATTTATTGACATTAACTCTTGAATTCACTAAAAACAACTTTTGATATAAAGAAGGAAGTAAAAATCCAAATTTGATTTGTTTTACCTGATAGCCAACCAAATTTATTGACCAATTGGCCTCTCAATTTTCCTCTGATTTATGGATCTCTCTTTACTCTAAACTGAGTTCCATCACAATATACCAGGTCCTGCTTTCACTAGTCAGTCAGCCAATGATCTATGGCTTCATAAGATACTTTAAATTCAACATCAAGTTTGCCTACTTATTTAAAAAAATAATGTTTATTTTTTTTTTAAATGTTTTATTTATTTCTAGGAGAGAGAGAGAGAGACAGCGTGAGCAGGGGAGGGTCAGAGAGAGAGGGAGTCACAGACTGAAACAGGCTCCAGGCTCTGAGCTGGCAGTCAGCACAGAGCCCGATGCGGGGCTCGAACCCACGAACCGCGAGATCATGACCTAAGCGAAAGTCGGACGCTCAACCGACTAAGCCACCCAGGCGCCCCAAAATAATGTTTATTTTTCACACACACACACACACACACACACACACACACACACACACAGCATTAGCAGGGGAGGGTCAAAGAGAGGGAGACACAGAATCTGAAGGAGGCTCCAGGCTCTGAGCTGTCAGCACAGAGCCTGAGGTGGGGCTTGAACCCACAAACTACGAGACCATGACCTGAGTCGAAGTTGGATGCTGACTGAGCCACCCACATGCCCCTATTTTTCTTTAAAATCCCGTCTTTCAAGTTATTTTTAGAATTTTGTTGTTGCTCTTAAATTTTCATTAGCTTGCTCTGTAATTTCTAAATACTAAAAATGGCTTTATGAAAGACTTGAAAATACATTAAAGAGTGAGAAAATAACAAAGAGAAAAATATGAAACCCCCCTCATCTCAACTTTCACGCCATGAACATTTTTGAGCATATACTTGCAGGATCTCTTCCAGAGATGATCTAGGTGGTTTTACTTCTGTTCTTCTTTGCCAAGTACACAGAAAAGTGTTACAGCACTATCAATCTTTTTTAACATGGAAAAAAATTGATTCCATAGAATCACAATCACAGGATTTATCATATGATTGCAAAATACTGAAAAAAATATATCTTGATGTCTCTCCCATTTGAATGTCACAAGGAAGGTATTTATTTAATGAGATAGATTCACATACACCCCCTATATATTGCGGCTCTAATATACTAAATTGTGTTTAACTTGAAACATAGTCCGGTTAGTAATGTATCACAAAGATAACCCCAGTAGCGTGTCAGTCACATGAAAGTACTTCCCTTGTTTTCCTTACTTCTTGACGATGAACTACTTCATCTACTTCAAGTGCATTACAAAGTACAGCATGACTTAATTCCTAAGTTCATTTCTGTATGTATTTATTCAACAATATCTTGTTGATAGGAGGTGCTCAATAAACATTTGTCGAATGCAGAAGAAGGATGAATGAAACATACTACTTAAATAGAGTGCTGTACAAAATAGCACATTATTAATAACTACATGGGAATTCTTAGAAGTGGCTGATGCAGGAACAAATGTAAGCTTTTTATTCACAGCAAAGCCCAGGAGATGAATAGCGGGCACATGCGATGTATGATTTATTCATACACTCTAGTAAGAGATTTATAGGCATCTATTAACCTACTCGAGTTCCAATTCTGTCGTAGGCTGGTCTTTTGTCATGATTAGCTATGTTGTGACTCTATGTTAAATAACAGGTTGTCTGTGCTGAAATATGCAAGAAATATGAAGACAGAGGGTCAAAATTATTATACATGTACATTGTTCCAGCTGAATCATAGATTTATCTCTGCTTGTGTATGCAAAAGAATTAGACATGCATATATGCACAAAAGCAAAGGATTTCTTTTCTAGACATGAAATCTGATGTCATAGAGTGGATTTGTCTCCCAAGTAATTAATATGTTGAAGTCCTAACCTCCAGTAACTCAGAATGTGAGTCTTTGGAGAGATGGTCTCCATAGAGGTACCTAAGTTAAAATAGGGCCATTAGAGTGGATCTTAATCCAATATGACTGCTATCCTTATAAGAAGAGGAAATTTGGACACAGACCTGTACAGAGGGAAGAAAATGAGAAGACACAAGGGGCAGACGGTCATCTCTAGGTCAGGGAGAGAGACCTGAAAGGGTGCCTTTCCATCAAGGCTCTCTGAAAGAAACAACTGTGCCAGCACCTAGATTTCAGATTTCTAGCTTCCAGACCTGTCAGAAAATACATTTCTCTTGTTTAAAACACTCAATCAGTGGCCTTTTTTTCTAGCAGCCCTAGCGAACTGATACACCATGAACTAATACAGAGTATAGTGAGGCCGTATGTTGAAAAGACTAAGAATTATCTTGTTATTTTCAACATTCTAAGTTTTGGAAAAGATAATCACATCCACCTGCACACTGTGTCAAGCCTGATCTGATCCTCTCTTTGGGTAAAACACCATCTGGAAAGTCACTGCTTTAGGTGAGACTTCTGATTAATCCCTCCATTAATGGATTAGGAACCCAACTGATTTCATTTCCCACTTCCACATGATGATCCCTTTAACATATGGTTGAGTATCTATGAGAGCTTGGATACAATTCATGCTCTGAATGGATATACCACTCTGCATCTCCCTTGGGGTCTTAAAGTCACTTGTTTCCACCTCTGCTTACACTGACCTAATAAATATAACAAAAGAAGAGGGATGTGGGAAGGAACATACCCATCCCCCATCATCCCCAACCCAATTTCACAGAGGACAGAAATAGAGTGCAAATTTTTAAATGGGGTACATGTAATGGCACCCTCCAAGTCACAAGGAAGCCATGCTGTCAAGGGCGAGGAAAGGTCACAGTTCTGTTTATCCTGACAGAATACCTGGTTACTCTCACAGAGATCTGCCACTGAAATTTATCAGCTCTTCCAAACCTGTGTTGCCCACCATGACAACTCATCTTCATGGACTAAAGCTGGCTCTTAGAGCCAGGCAGGATTTGCCCACACATTCTAAGTTCCTAACTACAAGACTCATTTCTCCATGCCATCTTAAAACAACATAGAATAAAGTTTTATAATAGCAATACACAGAGAAAAAAGTCCTAATTTCCCATGCTTCATGATTCAGATTAATTTAATAACTGTGTCATATGAGAAGAGTAAATAAAGAGAAGGAAAGGGGTGTGGATATATATGATCACTGAAGCATAAACAATTGCAATGAAAAACAAATTACTAGGGTAGTGCTAGAAATGAAAGCTCAGTGGAAAATATTTTTTGGATGCTAATTTGATTCTTCTACAGAACCTTAAAGCTGCAGTGTCTACAAGTGCACTACTTATCTCCACTTGTTTTTATTTTTAGCATTTATATAACCTTAAGTTTCTCAAAACCAATTAAACACTTCCTGATCTCTACTGGGAATTTGCCCTAAGTAGCTCTCTACCTAGACTATAACAGGACTATGATTTCATTTACAACATCTTGTTGGAGAATGTTTCATCATGAGAAGTGTTTAAAACAACAATGAAATAAATAAACGAGGGCAGAATCAAGATGTGATGGTTTTCTCTGGACACTGTTACCGTCTGGGGCTTGGTTGACTCAGTCAACACTGAGACCCTAGATCTTAGATGAGCAGTTTGCTCTGTTGGGCTACAGTCGATAGTTTTGCAGGAAGGCATTATTTCTAAGAACAAGCCAAGGTACTTAAACCCTGCACCAAAACTGCAGGCTTCTAGAGTGCATCATTATTTGTATTAAATTAGTAGACATAAAAATAAACCTTCCTTGGCTACAGCACAACTCAAATCTTGTCTATTTGAATTCAGCTTCACCTTCCTCAAATACTTAAGCTACCAGCCTTGTCCTTTCCCATATGAAGCCTCCTAATTCTGCCATTGAATGACATGTACAGTTGCAGAGGTCTGCCCTCTCTGAAGGCATGTCCCCAGTGTGTGCTGCCAGTGGCTTACCGACAATGTTTATGGGATCCCGTCAGGGTTTCGATCACAAAGCACTCTCCATCATTGAGACAGTATGCGAGGTCCTTGTCTCGGCAGGGTTTGAAGTGCTCAGAGCGCTCAGTGGAATATGTCGTTGTATCTGTTGAGGGAAATACACAAAGAATCAGCGTCAGCAGTGCATTCTGGGACTGAAGCAATGCAACTGGATAGGACCACTTTATGACTGAATGTTGTGCATCCCCCCAAATCCACATATTGAAACCTAATCACAATAAGATGGTATCAGGAGGTGGGCCTGTAGGAGATGACTGATTCATGAATGGGATTATTATTCATATAAAAGAAGCCCCAGAAAGCTCTGTCACCCATTCCAGTCATGTGAATACACAGCAAAAAGGCAGGGCTCTATGAACCATGAGAGTCCCCACCAGATACTGAATCTGCAGGCACCTTGATCTTGGACTTCCCAGCCTCCAAAACACCGGCCTTAAGAAAAGTCTGGTATTCAGTTATCTTATTTCTCCAGTAGATTTTAACAATTGGAATCACTGTAGAAGCCCCATCGGAGGACACATTAACAGTAAAAGCTGAATGATTCAACAAACATCTCAAATCTACCTTCATTAATTTCAGTTGTATGGAAACAAGTGTTATGGAAGCATCTCCTTCCCTTTGTTGTTGCCAAATGCCATGAAACATCTGATCCGTGCATATTGTGACTGTTCTGTGGAAACCAATGTCAGTTTCTCTGAGTTGTTTGTTTGTTTGTTTGTTTTTAGTTACAGGTCTAATTGGATAATTGCTGAACCAATTATTCTTTCACATTCTCCTTTCCTTATGTGATTAAAATGCAAATGTTCCAAATTCTTAAACAGAATCTCAAATGTGAAGAATATTTCTGGTAAATGTCTAACAGGACCAAATTATTGTCATTTTGTAAGCATTGTTTTAAACACTTGCTTTTAAAATCATAATTCCTTATAGTTTTAAGCGAAGCTGTTATGTCTACATCCTCTTCCCAAATATGAAACTAGCCATAAGTATGTAGTACGTACTGGACCCAGACTCTGTTATCACATGTAGAGACTTTCTAATTTCAGAGTTCTAGGCAACTAACATATTAGCACTAATTCTACCAATTCAAGAAAAATTATATTTAAACAGTCAAAGATGAAGAAATGATTCTGCATTTAAGCTCTCTTAATTTCCTTTTCATAGATCTAGATTAGTAATAATGGTCAATGGATTGGGTTATGGTACCGATTTAGTTACTTGAAGTCACTATGAGCCTCTTCCTGTTATCACCCAAACTGAGGAGAAAGTGATTGTCCTCAAAGGAAATCCACTCGTGTCCTTCACACATCTGAAAACCCTCAGTGGGTCCCATTCCCATAAGATTAACTCCAAATTCCTCAATGAAGGACCTAAGCCCTGTGGAATTTTGCCCTCTAGTATCATCTTCCTGTACTTTAAGACACACAACTTAATTTACAATTATGTTTCTATTTCCCCAAACACCAGGAGCTGTCACACTGCCCCTTCCTCCTGGACCATCTTTTTCTTTGCTGGAAGACATCCAAAATCCTACAGAGCTTATATTATTCTCCCATTTTGTCTCCCTAGTACCTTTTATCACTCACATCACTGCATTCAACATTCAACACTGCTAGTAGCTGTATGTTCACACATTTGTCTGTTCCTTTAGTCTGTGAGTTTCTTAAGGTCAGAGGTTGAGCCTTGAATCACAATCACAGTCCAAATGTCTTCAACAAATCTGATCATTCTAACACTACTAACAGTTTAAATGCCACCAGTAAAAGGTATGACCATTAAAGGCATTACAATGATATAAAAGCTAATGCACATCTTACAACAGTTAGATATAATTTCACATCAGTGTTACCATTTTAGTATGCCTACTTCAATATTGAGGGATATTGGAAAAACAAACATTGCCCTCAGACTCACATAAATCCTTACTCATATACTGCTCATATGCTGTAAGTACTGAAAATCCCACTTCTAATATCCTCTTTTTTTGGTGTACAACAGGAATTGATTTTTCTACTTCAAAATATCTGTTAATTCCTTGGCACAAAATAAAGGCTCTGCAAAACAGACACATTTTCCCTTTTCCAGGAGATCTCATCTACAGGGAAGATCTGTTATTCAAGACAGTATGTGATAAATAGTTACACAGAATCAATCTCTCTTTCTATGGGAAATATTTAAAATTCAAGAGCTCTAAACAAAATATTCAATATGGAACACCACACAGCTGATTGCTACTCTGCCTGCTGAAGTATATTAACTCATAATCAGTTAGCTAAGTTTTCCTTTAATTTCTTATTATCCATTTATTGATATTCACTAATCATTCCTCTAAGAACAGCTTTTCATTAACATAACCTACAGCATAAAAAGTGAGGTCCTTATTTTATAATCAGTGGTTTTAACAAGCTACAGACTCCAAGAGCAATACAATGGCAAAGCAATTACAATCAATTAGTTTCCATCTGACAATTGCTGTCTCCAGTGGTTACCTCCCCATTCTACCAACTGCCATCCCCATCACGTTATCATCTATCAGCACATTATAGAGGATCAGAGGCCCAAGTAAACACCTCTGCAAAGTCCAAAGTGGGAGAGTACAGAGATGTCAGACTTAATATGTACTCAAGTCTTCTATTTCCATAGCTTAGAGAATCCAAAAATAAATAAAACTATACATGCTTATACCTATGCAATGACTTGACTGAATTCAATACAACTCCACTGTTAAATATTTTTAATATCTTAATAAAACAGAATGCTAGGCTTGATCCTTCTATCAGTAAACTGCAATCATCAATAAATTTGAAACCTTAGAATTCACATGCCACCATACAGTATCCATAGATCACTACTCACCTAAAATCACAAAGTAAATATAACTCACCATGAGGTAAAAATTCCAAAATATGTCAATGGAAAGATAAGGCACCATTCCAAATATGTCAATGGAAAGATAAAAACATTTCTTAATGGAATCACTAGGCTGCTACACTAACTCTAAGACCACCTACATACTTTTGTTAAGTAGTAAATAAAGTAAGTAAATGGTATCTAATCACTATTAGGCTTTCTATCACTCATAACCCAAATAAAGCCCAACAAAGAGACAATAATAATTTTGGATGAACTCTCCAATATTTATATATCTGCCTATAAGTGCATGTATGTATATATTCAGTTAATTGGTTTACATATAAAATATATCATAAGCATTTAAAATAGATCATGAATGGAGGCACCTGGGTGACTTAGTCAGTTAAGGGTCTGACTTTGTCTCAGGTCATGATCTCACCATTTGAGAGTTTGAGCCCTGTGTTGGGCTCTATGCTGACAGCTCAGAGCCTAGAGCCTGCTTCAGATTCTGTGTTTCCCTCTGTCTCTCTGTCCCTCCCCTACTCGTGCTCTGTCTCTGTCTCTCTCAAAAACAATAAGCATTAAAAAAATTAAAAAACTGAACACAAATGGAAACAAAATAAATATAAAATATGAGGTGTTCTACTTTATTTTTCTTCTTGCCCTAAGGTGGTACGGTGTGCTTTAATATATCCAGGTGAGTATTTTGTTCTGAGGAGGAAACATGGGGCATTTAGGAGAATCACATAATAGATATGATCTAACTACAAACTCTCGTGGCCCTAAAAAACCTTCAGACACCTTAACAATCAAGCACAGAACTCTCATCTGTAAACTTACCCAACATCTTTGGAACCTGTGTATATAATTAAAATGGGTTCACTTTTACAATAGTCTAGTACACTAAACTGGCCACAGTATATGGTACTATTTTGTCATGTATTTAGAATTCAAAGGGCATTCTTCTGTTTCTAGGAAGGTAAGCTGATAAATATATTTAAGATAGAGCTTTTGATTGTCTTCAAAAAATCACCTGGATGAAAGTCCAGGTAAGTAAACTAAGATGGGAGGGGCCCTCTATTCCCATGAATTCCCATTTGCTTTTTGAGGCTCTCTTACTGCAGTGTACCTCCTTCTCAGGAATTCTCTCCACTGTATCAGCCCATGAATCTCCCAACTGACTAGGCCATAAGGTCCTGAGGGGACAGAGTAGGTCTTCACATCTCTGATCCAAAGTCTTACAGATGGCTTGACACAGAGATGAACCCAGTGTCTATGGAAAAATGGCCTTTTCATACACGAGCATTTTTCTGAACGTCCTGTGTGGAAAAGTATACATGCTTTTCATAAAAGGAAAACAGCATATGAATACATTTTTAGACATTCAGACTCAAGAAGAGCTCTAAAAGCAATTTAGATAAAGTGTACAGAAACTGATAAGAAGAGGGAAAAGTCAGCTCCATAGGAAGAGGAGATGGGAGGAGAAAAAAAATTAGGGAAGACAGTCTCAAAGAGAGGACAAAGGAATGTCCAAAGCTTCAGAAGAACAGAGATGGTGCTAAGGATGGGCCTTCCAAGCACCATGACCAAAGCTCAAGGTCTCAGGCTGAGAATGTGTGGTTGCTGGCATGAGCAACTAGTACCCATTCCTTTGGGGTCACAGGGGCTGTATAATTATCCAGACCACTCATCTCGCACATGTTATATGTAGTTTAATGTATTTTCTTATACTTTTATGGGTTTTGGTCTCTATCCCCAGAGAGGTCAGGGAGAGTGCTTTGCTTTTGAGTTTTGTATTCTTTCCATGCCATGTAGCATACATAGTAAGCAATCAGTACAGTAATTAAATGCACAGTGGAAAGTCATGGTGGTTAATTCATTAAAGGAAAAATTGGGAAGAAACTGTAAGGCTGGGAAACAGAAATCCCTGCAGATTTTGCAGTGAAAGTTAATTTTTTAATGAATTAAAACAATGATTTCCCCCCTTAAGTAGTAAGTTGAACCTGAATATTACTTATTGAGGCTTTCTTTGTTGCCAGCACAACCCTGCACACTGTGGGAATGGAGATTTTGTTGCACGAACAAGAGCATTAAATAGACTATTACAGATAATAGTTGCAGTAGATAATTGAAATAAAGGGAGAGCCTAATTCAAGCTACAGTTATCTCCAAAGGCATCCCAAAGGGTTGGCAGTGGAGCTCGGTCTTGAATGGGCATGATTTAATTGGCAC